CACGACAGGCTGTCCTGCCCCACTCTCAGACACTGCCGAATGGAAAGCAAACTACCAAGTATCGCCCAAAAACCCAAGACATTCCACACATAAACGTGACTATCAGGGCATAAGAGTTAAAGTTAATTCAGTTGTCAGCAAAGAGGAATATTTCATCACTATCACGGAAGACCCAGAAGAACAAATAAGAACTTCATCTAGCACTTAGCTGAGCTGAAAGAGGACTGGTAAACAATTTTTAATGAGGATACTGTACCTAATGTAACTGGATCTGGATTCACTGGACTCTGCTGTCTGGAATGACTACTGCTGCTGTTACCACCTTTTTTTAAATCTTCTGCATCACTGTACCGCCGTATCCAGTAATTAAGCTCCTCACGGTCTGCTTCTTGACATCGCCGTAGCACAGTGAGCGATCGCCTAGTTTTTTCCACCATGTCCATTATACAGTTTAACAGCTACTCACAGCGGTGGATGGAACAGAGAAACAAAAAAGAACGTTTTGTTTATAAACTGATAGGAAAATAAAGAAAACATTAATGCGCTGAGTGCCTGGGGTTTAATAATGAAGAAGTTGTCTTCCCTGTTATCTCAAATACATGTGAAAAATTCTTGTTTTAAGCATGACAACCCCTTTCTGTTTAACTGGTGATCCTAAACTGTACAGATAAGGATTTCTGGGGAAAAGGGTGAAGACAAGGAGGAAAAGACTGAATAGACTGTAGTTCCACCATTAGTATCACATAGCATCACAGAGGCCTGGAGATCTGATGCCTACAAATTTTATAAGAGCTAATAAATTCAAAGAACAAATCCAATGCACCCCAGATCCATGGTTTATAGAGCACAGTCCATTCCCCTTTTGGCAGCCTTTAATAATAATCAGGATACTGCAGGAGGCACTTGACAGCAAGGCCTGCTATGAGCTACCTCATGGGGAACATCAAGCCCTCTAATTTAAACTCCAACACTTTCAAAACTTGTCCTAAGACTCAAATTTGTTTTAAAAGAAAAATTTTAAATTCCTATCTTAGAAGGGCTCCTTTCAGACAATTATACATAAGAGTACATTTAGCCCTTACATGGTCAAGGTGTTTCCACTCTTCTGCCCATTCTCTGTCTGTTAGCCTGTGATCAATCATTTCTTCTTGACGTGTACCATGCAACCCTGCCAAAAAGGAGCAAATCATGTTTAGAATGCTGGGAGTCCTTGGGGGGTGGGGGGGAGAAAAAAGAGCCCATAGGACAAATATATTATACATTACCTGGTCTAGTATCAGGAAAGCCATCACAAAAACCGATGCATGCTTAAAAACTTTGCTCTAAGTTCTCTTTAGCATTTTTGCCCACACAAGATGCTACTGCTTTACTCTATGTCTTCAATTCTGCAAGTTCTGTAGGTTGCTAGATGACCCCTCAAAAGTGGAGATAACCCTTTCTGACTATATACAACTATAATATATATAACACATATAATACAACACATAATTTTTCATTTGCACTACTTGAAGAAGTCGACAAGACAATTATTTGGTAACTCAGTACATCAAATACTAGCTGCACTTCAGAGAGTTGAAAAAATATTAGTATCAACTCAGTGTTATTTTACTAAATGCAGTAATTACTACAATGTCAACATTATTTCATTAAGGGTTCATCCCTTCACAGATGTTTAAACAACATGTGGTTAAAATGTAGCACATGTATCAGAGCAGCTGACAACATGATACAACCAAGCCAGTATTTATTATCAACACTCAAGAGGAACCGACACTTGCTCTTTGTTTAGCCTCCTCTATACAGATGCTGACTATTTGTAAATGTTCCTCTTACTGAAGATTTGTTTAAAACAAGGAAGAATAGTAAGTGCAGATGTGAAGCAAGCCAGGCAGTTCCAAGAGCATCAGACGCCCCATTAAACCAAAACGTGCAACATGGGGTGTGGTTGGTGCTTCTGCTGTTTGTATCCTCTGCAGACATCCCCATGCTGCATCGCACCCTTGAAATGTCACACACAAAACACTCCTCCAAACACTTAATAACCTTCCTCTAGTCTAAGCTAAAATCAAGCTATATCGATGTTATTGTCACAAATGTGCCATTAGAAGAGAAATAAAAAGTTCTACCTATCCTTGCCTGCCAGACACTTGAGTGTCCATGTCATCTAGGCAGCTGTGAAAGTTTCCTCCTTCTGGCTTCCTCCTCCTTCTGACTCTCTTTACAGTGTAGCAAAGACACAATTCAATCCTCTTTTACAGATATGAATCTGAAATAAGTCCATTAGAAGCAGCTAGATGGACAAACAGCTATAAAGGCTCCATCTGAATGGCAGGTATTTAATCAGCAAAAAAAATTCTCTTCACAATACAGAATATAATTACAAGGAAAAGAGAAACCCGAAAAAACAATGCAGAAAATCAACATGCCTTACCCATAGGTCTGTTTCTGTCCCTGAGGTCCCTGTGATTGGGGTGTCTGTATGAGTCCCTGTAGTGGTGGGCAATGGCCATATCATCCAAACGATAATGCTGAGGTGGAGGTGGGGTGGGATGAGGCAGACCATTAGGCTGATAAGATAAGCCATTATTTGGACTGTACCGCTGGCCTGGGCTAATAGTGCAGGGCCGCTTGCTTGGATGCTCTGAGTGCAAAGGCTCTCTGTCAAAGCCATTTTCTTTGGTTCTGAAAAACAAAGCAAAGGAATTTTAATTCACTTAGCGAGCAGAGCTGCTCCGGAACACACATCCCCACCTACACATGCAGCTTCAGGAACTAAAGCTTGTTCTTTCACTTTGCTCCAAGTGTGTGGTGTTGCAGAACATTTCGTAACACTGCTCATTCAAAATATACAAAGGACACATTCATCTTGTCTAACTGTCCCTGTAACTTGAGAAACATTAGCAGGGTGTGCCTTCTGATGGAGTGGCTTGGAGAGATGGGCTGGACAAGCAAGCAGCAAGCAGCCTTCACTGAAATCACCAGTTGATGGGATGGATATACATGTAACTGCAGAGCTGAAACAATAAACTGAACTAATTTTCCATTAAAATAAAAAAAGAAAGGCTAGAGTTACTTCAACAGGTTCAAAACTCCTTTCAGGGAAGCTCCTTTTCTCTGAAGTATGTGGGTTTTTTTTACCACTGGAAAAAACAAAACCTACAAAATATTAGCTTTGAATATATTCGATAGAAATATCGCAAACTGTTGAGGTTGTATCCCTCTCTCCAAAAACCTTTATTAAACAGCTTATATATTCCAGTCTTTTTTAAAGAGAACTTTCTCCTCTGTGATTTACAGATGGCATAATATATCTTCCTAGTAATAACCCATTTTTTTGTCACTTTGACAGGAAGCTAAACTTGATCTAATTTTCTCATTTGCCTGCTGTTAAAGCAACTGCCCTTCAACAAACCCTCCCCCACAAACCAACCAACCTCAAGGGACTGTCTATGGAGAAACACTCAATGTATTAGTTGTTGCCCTTCAACAGGTTCTCCTTTAATGTCAACGAGAGGGAGGATGAAACCAAACCTTTGCCAATATTCACTAGGAGAGGATTAAAGTAAGATCTTGCAATTACCAGCAGGAAATTAAAAGATGGGTTGCACTGTTTTCAAAAGGAGTAAAGATATTTTCCAGGGACCTCACCACAATCAGTAATGCCAGAGAAGCTCCAGGTATATATATTTTATTACACCTTAACTTGGCAAAGAGGGGAGAATCTTTCACCAGTGCAGTAGGACAGCTGTTCTAAATTTGGGCAAAGATATGAAAGACACACTTTGTTAAAGTGGAGTATGTACCTTGTTCCAAAGCAAATGCAGAATGGCTGTGAAAACTCCAAATCAGGAACACCTGACGACCATCATATATTTTTTATGACTTTTGGCAGAATGGAACTGCTTCCAACAACTCCCAATGGGTAGTGATGTTTTTGACAGCTCTCCAAGACAAGTTTTGTATTTAGTTGCTGGTATGTGTTTTGTTTGCACGTATCTATTCAAACTCAATGTCCAGGACTTTCAATTGTAAAAGTACTGTAACAAGGAAAAAACGGACTTTCCTGTATGTACATGCCAAGCTATAATTTGCCAAAGTTCTTTAGTGTTACAGTTAGAATGATCTCTAAGATGTGGAAAAAAAATCTGAAACTAAATAATTAAAGAAGTTCATTGACTTTTTTTGATCATTCAGTGTAGGAAAAGCAAACCAGGAAACTCTGACAAGTAGAAATCCAGTTTTCCTTTTCTGCAGTTTTCTGATGTTAAAACCATATATTTTCACACATATTTGCACCCTACAGGTACTTCTGTGTTTTTTTGAGAAATGCCTTGTACTTAACTACCTTAACTAGAATGGACTGCATTAGCTTGGACAGTGCACCATTTTCATCTACAGCCTTAAGTGTTTAACCAATATAGAAATTAACATTACCATTGAAAACACAGTTACTGAAATTAAATTCCTGGTTTTGGTATTATGCTGGGTAATGGCTGTTTGGTCTTTTCTGGGTGTTAAAACCTTAATTCTACAATTTGTTGTTACATCTTCTGCACTGACCAAATAAATAACTTCATAGAATACCAGAATGAGACTGTACATAAACTCATTTTGTGTTTCTGACCATATAAAATACATAAAAAGGTAACAAGGTAACAGCAAGCCGTAGAGAGGAAACAACATTGAATGTGGAGGATGCTTAACTGAAACGTTTTCTTGTTTTACTTTTTCTTGCTCCTGTTGGTCATGTTTTACTTGACATACGCATAAATTGACACTGTCATTTGGAAAACTGGCAATATGATAAAAATGGGGTCCTTCAGCTATAAATATGCAAGGGATCATTTTACTTGGAGCTATGACTTATTCAGGTTAAAAACAGCAGAACAGATAATAGTCAATACTCTGTACCCATCTAATAGATTTTGTGTTGTTTCTAAATTAATCATTTCAGTTTTAAATTATTACAATTTATGGATAATTTTGTGGGTAGGAAATCTGAGCATGCAAATCTGACCAAGGCAGAACTGTCTTGGCTGGAAAAATAAGTTTAACCTGATCAAGAATCTTAAACCAATTCCAAAGAACACTGAAGTCAGCTTGCAAGAAGGAGGCAAAGCTGTTCATCTGCTCTTTGTGCAAGATGCCTTCATTTAAATTGGACTTCCACCAATAGAGTCTTGATGACCAAACAAGTGATAATGCTTTGCTGGAATAAAATACTCTGTTTATACTACTGTGTTACAGAAAAGATTAATATTGCCTTACTATTAAGAAAATTCTTTCAAAATTCCTCATAATTACACATGGCTTACAAGGAGCATAGCTGTAAGAGCTGGGAGCATCTTTCACCTTATTGAGATGTGGAGGAACTTCTTCAGATGAGAAGATTTATCTAACAGAATTATCAAAATCTGTCTCTGTGCCCAGGCACCTTTGACGTGAACTCCTTGTCAGGGGTGCCAAGGGTATAGGAAGCACAGCAGCACTTTCTAAAGTCACAAAACAATCATGGCCACTTTTGTTTTCTTCTGACTCAAAATTAGAGCTAGTCTAACAGATTTTTTTGCTATCCTATATCCACTTTGCAGGCAGCTGTCATAAATGTAGCGTCACTATATGACACACTCATGTGCCATACAGGCCTTCCCAGCAAGCTCAATGCATGACTAATTAGCAAAAAGTCTTTTGTGGTTAATGTATTTAAAATCATGTTATTTATAACTAAGCATTCATTCACCAAAATAAAAACCCACATTGGTTCAAGCTCCTTTGCTTTCCTAGAGTAGAATGTAAACTCCAGAAGTTGTAAACAAAACATAGTGAACACTTTGTTCATGACATGTCATGAACAAACTACCAAAATATGTTGTCTCCTCAGGTGTCAGTTTTTCTCTCCTGCAGTGACTGATGGTTCCCGGTGTTATTACAGAAACAGATTGATCTTTTTAATGAGCTAGTTTAATAGACTCCAAAATCTCACCGTGGCTGCTCATCCGTGTCAGACCATATGCACCAAGAAAACATTCAGTAAAACATGAAGCTCTGCTGTCAGACTGCTCTATAAAACCTCACATACAGTAGACTCAGATATGCAGATAAATAACCAGAATTGGAAAATGCATATGCAAAAAAGGTTCTGAAATTATTACGGTATGTGGATTTTCTTTAACAAAAAATCATGAGGTGGATGTGGCTATGTGCAACACACACGTTCCACTTCCTTTGCCTAATCACTTACTGTATTTTACCTCAATTGGAATCAACAGTATGCAGTTACCTGTGCCCAACAGAAAAATTTAAATATGGAAGAATGATGAAAGAATGTATGTATACATATTTCTAATATATACGTGTGTGTACCATATATATATATGCACACTCATCTATATATGAGAGAGAAATATATTACATAAACATTAGATACAATGTCTCGCTATATATCATATCTATCCCTTGGGAAGTGAAAAAGATACCACAAATAACTTTAGTGAGAAACATATCTCCAAACAAAATTATTCCAACTGCATTTAGTTCCCCTGGAAAGATGTTGCCTTTTAGTCATTTTTTTCCATATTCTAGCAACAGTCACAGCAAACCCTCCTCATATATGCCTTGTATCTTCTGCTGCATTTTAGTATATTTGAAAACTACTTAGACATCTAAACAACAGGTACATATATTTCCAGATGCTTCCTCCTGCTCCTCTGTAAACAATTAAAATAATTAATAGTGTAATGAGTATAAAGCCAGACAAGTATTTGGTTTCAATACTCATTCAGGTCTAGGCAGGCTCTGACTCCAAGGACAGTATTTTGTGGTTGCTTTCCTTACATTATCCAAATTAAAAGGTATGCAAACTCTTATCAGTAAATTTAAGAATCTTTACAACAGCATCTTGTTCTTTTTACTAAATCTGTAGTACAAATGTTCTTGAGTGCACAAAACAACTCCACTGAACTTGGTTCAGCCAAAAATACTGTTAAGAGTTTATTTTTTCCTCTATAGCTGTAATCATAGTCCACAGAGAAGCAGACGTGACTACTGAGTGACAGGGTTGTTTGATACTGCAAAAAACAACTTATTTTTTAAGCTCAAGGCACCACTCCAGTGGGTGAGCTGGGCAGTCTCTTTGACAGAGAAGAATCTTAGGGTCAAAAATAGAAAGGATGGGTTTTTCTGAAATGCCACTTTCTCCAGAACTAAGGAGCCTAATTTCAAGCGGTGAGCGACAGAGGCTGCTGGTTGACAGCTTTGGCACCTCAGAGCACGCAGTCACTGGGACACCCCACATTACAGCCCTAGACTCCAGGAATCCAAATGCACGGTCTTACCCACAACATCAGAAGTTAAACTGTCCACCCCTCATCCCAAAAGTTGCATCGCTACCTGGAAAGGAACTGAAGACTCCCCGAGCTGGATGGGGCCTAAGAGAGGCTTCAGTTGTGAACCCAAAAGCACTTGCTCATGAGCAGAGACTTCCGAGTTTCAAGAGCAGCTACGTATTGTAACTGAAAAGAAACACTGAAAACAAATTCCATAAACTAGACTTAAATGTCTCTAGGTCTAGGCCTCAGTTTTAATTAAAAGATGAAGGCTGACTTTAAAATCCAGTATTTGTCTGGATTGCTGGTCCCCTTATGGACTACTCCTATGTCCTTCTTGCTCTAAGAGGTCTTTCCATCACTAAGTTCTTTATACCTGCACCACCCACCCCTCCCACAGAACCAGGACTGAAGGTAATACAGGTGAGACCGTACTTACTACAAAATAACCAAAATTCAACACTGTCAAACCGGGTCTCAAAGAGGGGGAGTATTATTCCAGAATGCTAAGGAAGAAAAATAAAGGAAATATTTTATTGCACGTTTCTCCTTTGTGGTCTTCTGAGAGAAGCGAGTAATACTGTTCGCTATTAACAGAAAAAAAGTGAGCTACGGCTGTCAGGAAGGCATATCCCTCTTCTCCTCCGTATTCTCTGTCAAGCAAAACCTCATGGGCTCATGAGATAATTTAATGTGTGTCCATATACTTGCAGGAAAAACACCACGTCTGCTACTGACACTGGACTACAGCATGCTGACATTTAAGTTATTCACAAGATTTTAAGAGGTCTTTTTAATAGACGCTTTGGTACACTACTCTGCAAAGACTGAGGATATGTAGTAGAACTGCCCCAGGCAGCTACATTTCAGCTTTTGAAATGCTATCTCCTTGCACGGAGTAAGAGACTACATGGAAAATGTTTGAAAATTAATCATCTTTCTTGGATGCAGTCAGCAGGTTTGTGTTAACACTGGTGGCTGTTTCAGTTCAGTTTAGTTGCCAGAGAAAAGTGGTGAAAAGAGGATATGCAGAAAAAAAAGCTTCTCTGCTGGTATCTTTATTTTCTTGCTGGTCCAGAGTGATTTCCCTGAAACACAACCCAAAGGAAGCTAATTTCAAACACTTCCATGTTTTTGTCTATCTAATAGCTACGTTACTTTAGCTTTTACTGTTCACTACTGGCTATGAGAAGTTAAAAGTTTTACCATGAGCTTTCAGACATTGTTTTCTCTTTATTTTTGTGCTATCTCAGCCTGTCCTTACACAAAAATGTCACCTGTACAAACCTGCAAGCCTTTTTGACTTTGCAAATCTTCATTTTTCTTTTTAAAAGATCAACTAGGACACTTACCATACCTTGGGCATGCAGGCAGCGTAATTTGGCAGAACAGCATTAGAAAAGTCTTCCACACTATAAAATCCGTGGCAAACAAAACTAAGAAAAATCCAATATTTGGGACTCCCAAAGGTAAAATGTATATGCTGTCTGAACTTCTAACACTATCATGGGAAGACAGTTAAAAATAAATAACCAGAAAAGTCATCTTCTTGTAACACTAAACAAAGAACTTTATTCAAATAAGATAAACTGCTCCATATCCCTAAAGCTATTGCACTTAACGCACACATGCTGACTCGCCCTGTTTCTGCAGGGACACTTTCTCAGAACGACAACAAAGCAGATTTCAGTGAATATTTTTCCTGTTTGGAAGAAACATCCTTATGTATATTGGATACATGGACAAGGAAACATGGTACAGCAGAAGGAGCTGAAGCCTCGACTGCACTCTGGAGCTTGCCTTGTATTTCTCAATATAAGTGCCTAGCCACCTTCCCCATATTTACTGTTTATCCAACAAAACCTCAAGTACAAAGGACTTGCATATGGAGCTGAAGTAATCTGCTGCTCATCACTTTATGCTGCACAGAAATAGGATGCACCAAATAGTAGGGTACTAGCCAGTATTACTTCTGTGTGGATATGACCACGGTGTGTCCTCAGGCGATTTTGCTGCCTGAATCACTGTGAGTGCATATATTCTATTTATAGACACAGAGATACATTTGTACATATATATGTAGCTATATATATGTGTATGTACATACATAAGCAGGGACTGTTGCGATAGGACAAGGGACAATGGTTTTAAACTAAACGAGGGAAGATTTAGATTACACATAAAGAAGAAATTTTTTACAATGAGGGTAGTGAAACACTGGAACAGGCTGCCCAGAGAGGTGGTAGATGCTTCGTCCCTGGAAATATTCAAGGCCCGGTTGGATGGGGCTCTGAGCAACCTGATCTAGCTAAAGCTGTCCCTGCTCACTGCAGGGGTGCTGGACCAGGTGACCTTTAAAGGTCCCTTCCAGCCCAAACCTCTCTATGATTCTATATACGCATACACAAAGGCAATACAGCTGTTCCAGAGCTGTAGTGAAGGCAAGACCTGCACCCATGGAACACCACCCCAGTTCCCCCCAGACACCCACCCACATGCTCCCCCCTTGCTAGCAGAGCTCTTCATGTTTGACCCATGTGATATTTCTGAGAGGCTCACCTGTCTGGAGTTCGCCTCTTCCCGTTTTCGTTCACATCGAGAAGCAGCTCTGAGGAGTCAACAGGTGAGGTGGTGCTGGCATCCAGAAGCAGCTGTTCGTGCTGGGCGAGGTACTGGGCTGGGTTCTGCTTGGCTAGCCTTGCACAGTGCAGCAGCTCCCGCTGCAGCAGGGGCAGATTGGCCTGCAAAAGCATTGCACATGTTAAGAGGGTGGCTTGCAGGAAGTTTCAACAGAGATGAAGCAGAAAAATCAGAAATCAAAGGAAAGCCTGCTGTGAGATGAACCTGTTGCAAGCATCCTCAATTAGGTTTGCTGTGGTTAGCTGCCTGAAAGCAGGCACCGTCCTTACTGCTTGAGGTCACGGCTATGTAAGTACGCATGGTAGTGGCACAGGAGTTTACTAAAAAAGTAAAAGAAAACTGTAAATCCTGTAAGGAAACCAGGTCTGAGTTCCACATCTTTAAAAAGGGGAAAAGCACTGCCTTGGCTGACTTCACCTCTTTTCTTACTATCTGAAACCTGAGCTCCTATGGAGCAGCAGTTTTCAACAAGTGAAAAACCTTCTTCAGTATTTGTTTCCCATTCAGACTGCAGCTAGCACTTAGAGATCATTCAAAACCACAGGATCTGTGGCTCTGTAAGTTGCCTCAGTCACCATGCTTCAAGGGTCTGGGGGAGAACAGGATAGCCCTCAGCTTTCCCATTGCAGTCACACATTAAGATAAAGATTACAACAAAATCTTATGTTCCAGAACTTCACACAGAGGGCTACAACCCTCATCCTAGCCACATGTAGCTTTAAGTATTTTTAACCTTCTTCTCGGAGCCCTACACTGGGCCTTGGTTCATGGGCTGGAGAGTACCAGGACTTAAGACACAGAGAAGTGAAAATAGTCACTGATCCCTGGGTGGTGCATTTTGTCCATCTACTGAGGTCATACTTAGTCATACTTCTTGCCAGACTTGGGACAGGGGAGAGGAAGAAGGAAGGAGAATCCTCTTTTTTTTATACTTCTTAAGTCAAAAAAGTACTGAAACTAAAGTGCAGGGAACCAAGCACAAAAAGCAGATGTTCAAGCAAGTTCTGAGCACAGAATCTTAGTAAATTACTTTGCTAGCATTCTAACAATGGCAAATGCTCCAGTACCAGTTGCTGTACCATAAAAGTAGATCCACCGTGCAACAAAAAATGCCAGAATAGGGTCAATACATACAAAACATTTCAACAGCCAAAAAAAGCCCAGCAATTGATATCGTCTATTGTTGTGGAACATGAAGTCTTTTCAGACCTCCACAGAACACAAACATTTTATGAAAGTACCAAAGAAATATCTTCTTTCGGTTATTATCTGTCACATTTTTGTCCAGGGCTACCACATAACAGAGCAAGATCCTGAATGCTTTTGTGAGCAGGGTTTTTCACTTGTTTTAATTTCATTGTTATTTTTTAAAAGCTCACACACAATTGAAGTCAAGACACCCAACTATCTGAACTGCCTCACACGGCAGAAAATGATTGGAGAAATTTACGTATATTGCAAATAAATATCTGTAGGAAATAATAGGATCAGACCTAGGATTTTAAGTGGTGCATACTTGGAAGATGTACCATCACATCTCAACACACCTGTGAGGTAGAAATGTGAAGTTCCCAATTTGGAGTTGAGAAATCAATGGGAAAAACACCACATTTACGTTCCTTATCCACTATCACCAACAGAAGGGACCTATTTCATACATGGGCACTCCTGGCTTGTAGAGACAACCAAATTTTGAACTGTCTAGAAAAACCCTTGATTTACTTTTCTTGGTGTTATTCTCCTAAAGAAATGTTCATTCTTGCTCTTTAACATAAACATGAAGATTTGCAGTTAAAGGTATCCTTTACTGTAAATAGATTGAATATGTTTTCTATGCACAGAACAGACACATACAACTTTTAATATATTTATTAAACATGGATCTACTCAGTTTCTTGATTTTTTTTAGAAGTCATTATAGAAAACTATGAATGATATGCCTCGTAATTAGGGTTTATATTAGCATCAAGCAACATTTGGACATAGACTTAAACTCAAAGTGAAGAAAAGCCATATTTGAAAACTTTTAGTTCAACACAAGTACTTTCAATCTGCTCAAGACATTATTCTAAGCAATCTTTATCCAACTATAAATAATTGGTTCATTGGAAGAAAAAGAATCAGGACCTCTCTATGGCTAGGTCAAGTTTACAGACTGCTTCTGGTCACCATGGCCCCAATACATAACAAGAACTAGTGTTTGGGAAGCCAGATGCAGAATGAAGCACTGACATTCTCCCTACTATGAGCAAGGAGAGATGAGGCTCCTAAGGCAACTCAAGCGTACTCATACAGACTCTGAAACCAAAATGGCCTTGGACACAACGGCTTATGCAAAGGTTCATCTCTGACAGCACAGGCAGTTCTGTCAACGTGCACTAACACATTTCTCCCAGCATCGCTGCTGGTGCCTGCAGGTAGACTTCTACACCTCTACACGTGAGAAACAAACCAGTTCTTGACCAGAAGCCAAATATATACGTTGGAAAAACACTGACTGCAAACAAACGTTATATTACTGGCTTACAGTCCCCTAAAATGTACCACTTCAGTGTCTGGAATCTGCTCCTACTCTTGTTTTGGATTGGACCTCATATCCTTCAAGGTTGAGGTAGTGTCTTAGCCTCCTCCATCAGTTTTATAATCACAGGAATAAACAGGAAGAGAACGTGTTTCCTACCCATCTGTCAGACCTGTTTTCCTTCTTGAAATTAACTGTTCTAATCAGAAAAGAAAACATTATCTCTGCACCTGCAAAAGAAACGACAGTTCCAAAAGGCTGTTTTATCATTTCAGTGCTCACTCCAGGTAATTAACTAATAATTTTCCATTCTCGGATGTTCCTATTTTCTTCGAAACTTTACCAACAGAAGTATTTCTGTATTATAATTTAAATTAAAAAGGCTTTATTAGAATACAGTACAATTAAGCTTTGATGCAAGTTTTTGTAATTGCAAGTTTAAATAAATTATTTACAGTACTAATTTTTTTAAAATATAAGATTAAAATTGAGACAAATTTTTGTTCAGAGAGCCCAGGTAACTCAAAACCATCAAATCATATATTGATACTGATGCTCAAAACAAATATGCACAGCATGTCTATTGAAAAACAGTGTTGGCAGTACTGAAGATGTACACCATGTACCACTTAAATTTAATAGACTAAATCCTGCTTGATATTAATACAGAAAACGTGCACCAAAAGGCTTCCAGCCAATGAAGGTTTCTGCAGGTGAATGATCTTATCTTCCTCTGAATGAGAAT